CGTGCGCCAACCCGTAGAACGCGTGCTCGCGCATTTCCGCGTCCAGCCGCCGGCGATCCGGCACGGGCACGTCGCCGGCGACGGCGGCCAGCGTCCCGCAATACGCGTCCAACAGCGCGTCCCAGTGATCGTCCCGGGTCCGGCGGTCCGTGTTCATGTACAGGAAGAACGACAGGTCGAGCGCCGGCGACCCGTACCGCACGGTGGCCATGTCGTACGGCAGCGCGTCCACCGGCCGGCCGCCGCCGCCGTCGTCGTACCTAAACATCAGGTTGTTGCGGTTGAAATCTCCGTGGCACAGGACGGACAGCGGTTCGGTTGGTTCCATCACGCGCCTCAGCGTGTCCGACGCGTCGGCCAACAATTCCGTCCGAAACCTGTGTACGCGCCGATCGACGTCGCCTCCGCCACCGCCGCGCCGTTCGATTATCCTGTCCAGAGCCACGGCGAGTAGTCCTCCGACTTCCTTGTCCAGTAAACCCCATCGCCCGTTGTCGTCCCACTGCGTTTCCTGCACCTCGGCCACGAGATCCTCGAACGTTTTACGATCCACGTGCTTGGCTCTGTACGATAAACCGTGAAACCTGTGATCACAATACAAATGTAATATAGCCGATGTTGTAATTGTATTGGTAAATCGATCTACCAGAACATATTTTTTTACTCAATCGTCATAAATACGATCACACGTATTTATTGCCCCGTTACAACGCGAGTCTCTTCCTAAAAAGAATTAAGTATATAGGGATGCCACGAATCCAAAAAATTTAAAGTTTTATATTATAAGCCAGGCGGATGAAAATGTATGCTTTAAATTTGATACTCTGAACGTAGTCGAACGTTTTATTTATAAAGCCTCGGCTAGAAGACATTGACATGTGTTAGGTAACGTTTAGTACCCCGAAAATAAATTGTACTTAACAACTCGTCTAAAACATAAAATCTTAAATAATATCAAAATACATCTCCACGAAACTGATTGAAAATGTTCCCGTGACCCGTCTAATGGATCAATCCGATATAGCATAATAATACGTCTCTCACTCACTTTGCTAGAGCTCTGATCGCCACGACCAGGTGGTCGAAATCTAAACACAACCGATGGTCGGTCACCGCCATCCGATATCCGCGTACGGCATCGTTTTCCAAGACAACTATGTCCTGGTTCACCAAGTCACCGCAATCGTTTCGCCCATAAAAGTAACGACAGAGCGTCGGAATCGTGGCCTCATCGTCGTCCTTCTGCGAGCAGCAATCCATCAAGAACGGTAATATCCGTTCGTAGAACAGCGTTTCGTTGTGGAACTGCTTGTCATTCTTGATTAACTCTCTCACTTCCGGCACAGTGTACTTGAACTTGAACACGAGTCGATAGCTTCGTTGGTGACAGTCGCAATCGCCTACAGTAATCGTCCCATACAGTATAGACGACGCGAACTGATCGATCGCATTGTGTTGTCCGTCCAACGTGAACGACAGGAACCGACTGTCGGATCCAAACACCCCGGCTTCGATCATTTTAGCGACCGCCATCACAGTCGCTGTCGACTTCATCGTCTTCGTTTTTTGCAGTGAGTTAAATGTGTACAATACACGTATGACACCTAACAGAAATAGCTGTGCGGATATGTGGGAAGACGTGCTTACTATTGTCTTTGTCAAGTTAGTGTTTGGTCTACGGTCGTTTTTGTACTGACGAGTGTCTAGGTTATGTTATAACGCAGTACACTATACTTAAAAAAATACAAGCTACTCATATTTAAAACTGGTTTTTGAATCCAGATTTTTGGGTAGGTAGAAAAATCTCCCGCACTCAATGCGACATGTTAAATTATGAACTTGAATAATCTACTGATATTATTCACTCGGTTACTGTTAAGGTTCAACTTTAAAATCCAAACTAAGTAACTATTATACTAACGTGATATATACGAATAGATGAAGTTCGCATACCAAATATTACTCATATATTAGAACATTTTTCAAAATATCACTTTTCAATACATTTGACCTTACCAGCTAGAGATCAAAATAAATTATCATTTAATTAAATTTTTATTTACTTATCATAATATTTTACAAAATATTCTCATAAAAAATTATTATTCTATGGTTTATTCAAGTTTTATAAACCAGTTAGTAGATTAACAAATACAAGAGGAGGAGTTTGTCATTAGCATCTCTTAGTTTTATAGTACTTACTTTTATCTAAATAAGTGTTCATATTCCATGACATAAAAAATACATATTACTTGTGCATCTAAATCGTATACAGCGTATGCACTTCTCCCATCGTATGGTAAAATTTTTGTATGAAAAAATGCGTAACGTAAGAACGAGGAATATAGTTATTCACTGAATTATTAAATTATAATCATACTCAATTGATTTTATTGTAAATACTTATTTAATAATATGCTACATTTTAACTATGTGCGGGGAACTAGGAAATCTACAAACAGATTTTTTTTTAGATGACAGTAGATATTTTTTATTTATTTTTTATTCAACCATATATCACATTAATAATTGTTGTAATGCAATAGCTGTTTATATATATATATATATATATATATATTTACTAAACATTTAATTTTTAAAAAACAAATCAATACAAACTGTTATAATTTTAATGATTATAAAAGTTTGATACTATAACATTTCAGTATAACTAAAACAGATAATCGAGGTCTATATAATCTATCCATCAAATGCTGACGATCGCAACCACCATCAGTTTTGCGCGTCGCCACGCCGATATAATAAATATATTGTATAATCTGTAGATAAATAATATTATTATTGTTATTATTTTGACAGCAATTATAATGATATAAATTATAATATCACAATCGTGAGGGAAATTTTTCACTCACAACTATTATTATCATTAGCGATGGCATATCATCAACGACTATACGGTTGGCGATTGGTTTCTATTCACCACCAACCCTGCCGAGGTAATTAATTTCCAACAAACGTATTGTACGGTTTCGCTACTGATGCAGATAAATGCGGTCGTCTTATAACATCACCCCCGATCCCGAGGAATTCTTTGTATTATTATTGAAATCTATTTCAATTATATCTGGTATTAGCCGGTTTTAAACTCGTTACTGGCCGATGGAATCGAAGATCGGGAGCATCGTTGTTCGTAATCGATCGGTCCCGTAATGGCTAACAACATGGATAAATGGGCTGAATAACAGGAGCCCAACCCATTTCTCTTGGGCGAAGACCGCAGCGTGCAGCCAGGGTTTGTCAGGCAAAACTGTCGGCAATCCGGTAAGACGACTTTACGATATAATTACTATTATTATTCATAGGCGTGTGCACCGTGCTGATAATACATTTTTTCAGAAGGGTATTGAAAATATGTATACAATAGTTATATATTCTGTGCATCTCATATCAGTGGTGGATCGTAGTAATTTGACATTTTAGTGATATAAAATTTTAGTGAATCTCCCTTCCACCATCATTATTTCTTAAAATATAACAGTGTGAAATGTAGACATTAACTTGGTGTTTGATGAATTTAATGCCATTGAAAATCGGTGATTTTTTTCTATATTCATTTCTTCTAAGTTTAAATTTTCATAAATTTTAAATAATGTTTCTGTCGATTTGTTTAATTATCAAACAGACTCTATTAAACTGTAATGATTTTTCATATAATAGGATTATTCTGTGGCTGCTCGTGCCTTGGTGTGCAATGTGTACATAAATCATAAATTAATACAGATAAAATAGTAAAAATGGATTTTCAATTTTTTACACAATTTTTATACAATTCAAGTTTAACTATAAGAATTGATTGCATAATATTGTATTAATTAAAAAAAAAAATGTATACTAGTTTATATACTCGAAAATATTACTCCTACAATTTATTGAAGTTATGTAATAAATACACATCATTTGGTATGCAGCTCAGTCAGGACACCGTCCATGTCGATTTGTTAGGCTATTGAGTGGGAAGTTAACGACAATTATTAATGGGACCGTGGTGTGCAGCGATTGTTGTACACATGGTAGCCATAACTTTTCATTTCGGTTATTATTTTGTAGAGAAAAGGCTTGAATTCATGAATAAAAATGTTTAAATTTTTTTTATTTTGTTAATACAATTTATAATAGGTTCAATTCACGCATATTATAATTTTTTTTTTAAAACTTTGTATAAATATTTCAATACATATCGACATTTCGTACTATAATAATATTTTAGATAAAGACTTAATTTTTTTTTTCTAATAAATTTTTGCAAGAATTGCACACCAGTCACTTTGAATACCATGAGCCGCCATCGGGCTTATTAAAATAATAACATTTTTTTTTTTTTATAGTTAACATTATATACCTATTGCACTTAAATATAACAAATTTATATTTATTTGCATTCAAAATCTTAAAAATTACTGCAGTTATAAAATTATAAGTAGATTGGATGTTAATATATATACTAAAAAAAAATAAGTTACTCTATCCTAGTATTAGGGCATTAGTAATCACAGACTTAACAAGAAATTTGTATCTGTAAAACGTAGTCTACTTAAGCGGATCTTGTGGTTAGGTGATAACATATTAGATTATGAATTCGATAGCACAAAATAAAGTTGAATTTATTATTGACCAAAATGATTAGATATATATTAGACATCATGTTTTTTTGTTTTTACAGTTCCATTACAGAATAATATAAACACTCGTTAAAGTTAAATATTCAAGTTTTGAATTTGTCTTGAAATAAACAAAAGACAATATTGTTTTTATTTTAATAGTAATGTTTACTTATAATAATTATACTAGGTTTTTATTCTAAAATAGGTATTGTGTTAGTTGTATTGTATTATCTTATTTTTTAGATATTATTTAAAAAGTACCTATTTTAATACTATAATAAATTCTGGTTTTGACATCGATTTTAGTATTTATTTTTATGTCTAATACATAAAAAACCATATTATATGTATTTAGGTATTTGAATATTTTAAGCATGAATGTTTTTTCATATCTTAGCCTTTAGCTATACGGCTATACTTATAATATATTATAAAAATGCTGTTATTTTTAAGATTTTTAAAAACTAAAATTCAATTGATGATGTGTTAGGTAAATATTGTGGAAGATTCTTAAGGTACTAAGAAGTATTTTTTGAAGAAAAAAAATATTATAAATAAAATAATTTTGTTAAGATCCAATAATTAGGCATTGCTCCAACTACTCCATTGACCTTTAAAATGAGGAAATTATTATAAATCTAATATTTCCAACCTACGTGCATAATAATATATTATAATATTATGCATTTTTATTTATTCATTTTAATTGCGCATCTTAATTAAATCGATGTGTTAGGAAAAAGATAATATTATACTCAAGTAAAATGCAAGCTGTTACGCGAGTTAATAATTTTTAGCATACGTTTTATCAAGATTTTATAATGTTCCTAGATTGTTTACAGTTAAAGTAAATTGTTTTTTCTAGGAATCAAATTATAATTCCGAATCATATGTACATTGATGTACGCATATAACGACCAGGATAAACGCATTAAGCACCTTATATTCATATAATAAGTCACGTCTTCTTTCGCTTGGCAAACGTATAGTGTATGATGAAGTTTAAGTATTATTTACGGTGTTGTTTTTGAAATAAATTTCACATTAGTTTGATAAACATCCATACTTTAGGAAGTATATGAGTTATGTTCCGGAACTCTTTTTAAGGATCAACGTATCGATATGTGGATTATTTAAGATGCGTAATAATACCTGCTAATAAATAACTAATTTTTTCCTACTCATTCGGTTATGATTTATTAAGTTCCTACGAGTGTACGTTTATAAAAATCGTAGTACAATAAGCTTATAGGCACTATGAATATAATATTTTTTTTGAAATGATAGCAAACCGGTTGTGTAGTAAATGTTTCTGTAATTCTCGTACGATATTAAGGCCCACTTCTAGAAATGAAGAAATGTTACATTCGAATTTTGAGTTCAGGCATGCAGAGAAATCATTATACTACCTGAAGGACAATAAACCTATTTGCTATGATATACGAATCGACTCTCGATTGAGCATCGGATCGCGATCGACTGTTGTAGCAGCACAATCAATGGATTTTTTCACTGACACCTATATATACATAACTACACTGTATTTTAAACAACATTTTGTGAATTATTAGTCTCTCAGTTAATCAAATATTATACCGTATAAACGTATATAATTAATATTTTGACAGATTACAGGTTAATACATTTTGAAATTCGAATTATTTGAATTAATTGACAATGTAAATACATTGAATGACTTTGCATTTAATTTCTTTTGTTTTTTAGTGTAAATAAAAAATCCATTATTCCTGACTTTGTCATCTAAACTTAAGTTTATAAATTTACAGTTATGGTGCTTTTATAGTAGATAAAATACAGTGGTTAGGTATATAAATAATTACTTTTTCTTTTTGTTTAGTCAACATTGAGTAACTTTTTGGGACCTTTAAATTAATTCTGTGACCTTGGCGTTTCATAAATAATAGTTATCAACTATAACCATTAATGTACAATATAATCTACTAGATATGGCTATATATTTCTCCCAAACAATAAATAAATAAAAATAAAGCAAACCTGTGTATTTTAAAAACACTTATTTATATTTTATACACAGGTTATATTATAACTATATTTGTATTCCATGATTGTT